TTATCAGAATCTTAGAATCAATATCTAAGATTCAAGATAACTCAGTTCTTTTTCAATCTCAGATTACAATTCTAATTCTTCTTTGCAAGACACTAATGTATCTCAAGGCAAAGTCAAATTTCAACTGCAGAAGAACTGAAAGAAACTGTTATGATATGTAAGTAAAAAGTCTTCTTCTTTGCTAGAAAATCAACAAGTCTAGTATGATTATTCTAACTATAAAAGAGCAATTTTAACCATCACTAGCTGATGAATGCAGAGATCAGTGACTGGAAGAGTCTATGTCTTTGAGACAAATAAGAAAGAGAGAAGAGTTTTTTTTTTTAAGTTGTGATTGAATTTATCTTTGCTGACCTCAACTGGCAAATGGTTTTGACTTTTTGGAAGTGAAAATTGGGGCTGGAGAAAATTGATAGTATATTAGAGAGGTAGAGACTTGATCAGAAAATCAGAAATATCAAGTCAATTTTGAAGAGATCTTGTTTTAACTGAGTTGTGATTGAATTTATCTTTGCTGACCCCAACTGGCAAATGGTTTTGACTTTTCGGAAGTGAAAATTGGGGCCAGAGAAAATTGATAGAATATCCAGAAGGTAGAGAATTGATCAGAGAATCAGAGATATCAATTCAATTTTGAAGAGATTTTGTTTTGACTGAGTTGTGATTGAATTTATCTTTGCTGACCCCAACTGACAAATGGTTTTGAGTTTTTGGAAGTGAAAATCCGGGCTGGAGAAAATCAATGAGATATCAGAGAGATAGAGAATTGATCAGAAAATCAGAAATATCAAACCAATTTTGAAGAGATTCTGTTTTAACTGAGTTGTGGTTGAATTTATCTTTGCTGACCCCAACTGACAAATGGTTTTGACTTTTTGGAAGTGAAAATCAGGGCCGGAGAAAATTGATAGAATATCAGAGAGATAGAGAATTGATCAGAAAATCAGAGATATTAAACTGAATTTAAAAGAATCTTGTTTTGACTGAGTTGTGCTTAAATTTCTATGTTCTGCCAGAATTTTGGCTGTGTTCTGCAGTTGTACCACTTTGATGAGATATAATAGAGTTTGATGGAATAATTATGTAAGTTCAGAGATCAATTCAGCTTTGATGTTGCTGATTAAGACTTAGTAAGTCAGAAACATGAAAATCTTTCACTGTGAAAGACTGATGAAGAGTCACCAAAACTGAGTGAATTCTTAATCAGTTTGAGAATGCAAGTATTCTTCTCTTGAGTATAGATTCTTTGAAACAGCTGCAATCAATTTTCAGCATTTCAGGTCTGTAGTTGAGATGATTGTGTTGTGGTGACCAGACAAAGTGTCTGAGTAGCCAAAACTGACAATTCAGTCTTTGGTGTGAGATTTTCCACCCATCACAGTGAATTGTCAGGTGAAAATGGAGAGAATAACTAAGTGGAACAAGAGCTTTCCAATGAATATATTTTCATTAAATTTGACTTAGAATTGATGGTGTTTCATATCAAGTGCTGAGGATCATGGTTGTTTTCTCTTGAACATATTCATTTAGTATAATGTAATTCCTCACTGAACATCTGATCTCACCCAATGACTGCTTCTTACAAAATTACCACTACACCTTCAAAATATGATTTTTCAACAACCATGTAGTAAAATTAATTAAGCTATTAGTTACAGCAAGTTGAAAAGAAATAAAACATAGAAATTAGTATGGTTAATCCAAAAATCAACAGAGTGGCCTAATAGCTCAATCTTTGCACATGACTGACATTTCTGACTCTTTGAGCTCTGAAGTGATTGCAAAATCTTGCTTTGGTGTTTGAGAGCTCAATTGTAAGCTTATTAGAGCCATAGAGAGCTTTTCTAGAGTCTTTTTGAATGTTACAGACTCTGCAGAGTGTGTAGGCAAAGTAGAAGTCTTTGACATCAGATTTTTTTGACAGATCTTCTGCACAGTCTTCTCTTTCTGAGTCTTTTTGCAATGTAGAGCTCATTCTTTCTTTGCTGTCTGTTTCAGAGCTTTGCATGTCTCTCTAGCATTCTTTTCAGTCTGTCTGCAAGCTGCAGCTGCAGCTTTATCCATCTCTTTTTTAAGTCTTTTTGCTAGTCATTCTTCTTCACAAATTGCATGCTGCTCAGTGTGCTCAGCAGTCTGATTCTCTCTTAATGCAGTTAGTTGAAGCTTCTTCTGTTTCTTCTGTATTCTTTTATTCTTCTTCTTCTGCTCTTTTTCTATGATTTTGGCTCTCATTTCTGCAACCTTTGAAGAAGAAAAGAATTGAGCTTTACCAGCTTGTTCAGAATCAAAAAGACTTAATGCTTTGCCATGCTGACAACACTTCTTTTCAACTTTTAGAGCTGCAGCTAGGCCATCTCTTTCAGTCTTTATAATCACTTTTTCCAGTGCTATTTTCTCTAGAGCACAATAGGCTTGCCTATGCCTAGAGATGGCATTGGCTCTCTCCAAATAGTCTAGTAGTCTGTCTACTCCCCAGCATGTAGTAGATGTAGTAGACTCTAGAGCAGCTTTCTGGGTGTCTGGGGTCTTAGGTCATATAGATTTGAGCACTCTATTAGGGTCTAACAGCCAGATGCCAGCACCTGCAAATGTGGATAATATATTTTCTGGTGTAAAAGCTGCTGCGTACACAGATTTGAACAAGATGTAGAAATTCAATTTTGTCATTTTAACAAAGCCCATGCCTTGCTGGAGAAAGTTGTTTAGTTCCTTTAAATAATAGTGCTGTATTGGTCCAAAAAGTCCAATATCTAGAGACTGTAAACAGTGTGTAGAGCTGGATGGAAGAACAAGCAGTAGAATCTTATTCTTGTCAGCAAAATCAATGAACTGCATATTAATATGAGAGACATGTCCATTCAGTATAAGCAGACATCTATTCCACTTGCTGCCTGCAGGGCCAGCTTTGGCTCTAGTCTCTTTATTGAATAATTCCAGTCAGCAGATTCTGTATTCATCATTGATCCATTCATTTTCTGATGCAGCAAAGTAAGTTTGATTCTTTTCACAGTCAAAATCAGTGAGTTAAGTATCTTGCATGTCCCTAGAATTCTTCTTGTAAATGAGAGCCAGTGTAGTGGAGAATTCATCAGCACAGATGCATGCAAGTAGAGAGATGAACTTCTGACTGCCATTCTGTACAGCACTCAATATTTCACCACACTTATAAGCTTGTAAAGAGACTACTCTTTTAAATGTATTTGCTAGTTCTATAATAAAGCCTTTTTCATCAAAATTGTAAATATTCATGGATTCAAGATTATATTTCTTGATTTTTTCTCAAAGCTATAGAAATTTGTATAGTTAGTCTTAATCCAGTGAAAATCAACATCAAATCAATAAAATTAAGAAATATTACTAGATCAAAAAACAAAGAATAGTACATAGAATTGTCAGCAGCTTTTCTCTTTTGATTAATATTTCATAGAAAAACACTGATGAGCTGATTTTCATGATGTTCAATAAAGTGAGAGACTCAGTTGGATTCTACATCACTTTATAGAATCTCATTTGCTAGATTTTGTAAAAGCTGAGATGTAGCAGAAAATCTGTGGTTCATAAGAGTGTCAATATGCCCTAGAAGAGCTTCTTCCTGTGCATCTGTAAGATTTCTTGAATATAGAGAGATGGCTTTGCGCCTAGAGACTTGTATGTCTTTAAAGCAATGTGCCAACATAGTTACATTGATTTTGTACTTTTTGGCAGTTTTGGCATAATTAGAAGCCTTCTGTGAGTGCAGATCTTCAATCATCAATTTAATAGCAGCTTCATTGATCATTTTATTGAATTTTGAAAGTAGAGATCTACAGTAGAAAAATCAGTTGCTTTGTGGGTTAGATTGTTCAGTGATGAATTACATTAAGTAGATGTCTACTTCACTTACTATCTGCAAAATCAGCTTTGACTCTACTCTCTTTATTGAATAATTTGAGTCAGTAAATCTTATATTTATCATTAATTTATTTATTTTCTGATGCAGCAAAGTAAGTTTGATTCTTTTTACAGTTAAAATTAGTTAGTTAAGTATCTTGCATGTTTCCAGAATCTTTCTTGTAAATGAGAGCTGATGAGTAAAGAATCTGTCAGCATAAATATATGTAAGTAGAGAAATGAACTTCTGATCATTATTCTGTACAGCACTCAATATTTCATCACACTTCTAAGCTTGTAAAGAGACTACTCTTTTAAATGTATTTGCTAGTTCTATAATAAAGTCTTTTTCATTAAAATTGTAAATATTTACAGATTCAAGATTATATTTCTCAATTCTTTCTTGAAGCTATAGAAATTTTTACAGTTAGTCTTAACTCAGAAAAAATCAACATCAAATCAATAAAATCAAGAAATATTACCAGATCAAAAAACAAAGAATAGTACATAGAATTGTCAGCAGTTTTTTTCTTTTAATTAATATTTCATAGAAAAATACTGATAAGTCAATTTTTATGATGTTCAATAAAGTGAGAGATTCAGTTGAATTCTATATCACTTTATAAAATCTCATTTACTAGATTTCATAAAAGCTGAGATGTAGCAGAAAATTCATGATTTATAAGAGTGTTAATATGCTCTAGAAGAGCTTCTTTCTGTGCATCTGTAAGATTTCTTGAATATAGAGAGACAGCTTCATGTGACATGTCTAGAGACTTATATGTCTTTAAAGTGATGTGCCAACATAGTTATGTTGATTTTGTACTTTTTGGCAGTTTTGATGTAATTAGAAGTCTTCTGTGAGTGCAGATCTTCAATCATCAATTTAATAGCAGCTTTATTGGTCATTTTATTGAATTTTGAAAGTAGAGGTCTACAGTAGAAAAATTGGTTGCTTTGTGGGTTAGGTCGTTCAGTGATGAATTACGTTAACTAACAGCTCGGAAAATTGGTATTCCGATGGTAGTGAGCAAACCCAGGATTCCGGTATGGACTTTATAGGGCTTTAAAACACCATATTATCTTCATGAATCACATTGCAACAAAGAGCTTTTTTTTAAAAAAAAACAATGGTTAAACTTGGTATGTATTATGTGAGAAAATTGTCTTAAGTTTTATATATCTAAACCAAATCCCCATATTCTATACTCACATGTCTTTTTGGCTTGAATAGGAAAGAACTCGAAGAGGACTCCCGTTCGTTTACGCCACAAGATTGAGAAGGCCAGCACCGCCAAACAGAGGAAGCAAAGGAAACTAGCCAAGAAGGTTTGTGATGCTTCACATAGATTCTATATTCTACTCTTCCATGCTAATGCTTCGGTTTGGTAGAATCCGCAATGGCGCTCAAGGTTGAAGAGGGACCCAGGAATTCCTAGCCTGTTCCCGTACAAGGATAGGATTCTGAACGATATTGAAGAAAGGAAAAGAATATTAGTTCAGGAAAACTCGCAAACACATAAACCACAGTACAAATGCGAAACCAGTACTCAAGATTTCACTACAATTACCGACGATCAGAACGTTAGCCAGGACGTAGTTATAGATGATGAGATGGAAGACGCCGAAACGTATGAAAATCCTATGGCCGCTCTATTGACCTCGGCAAGAGCAAGGGCTGCCGAATACTCGGCACAAATTGATGATCAATATTCCGACTTCGAGGAGATGAATGAAAATGAAGATCTGTCACTAGTCGGCTCGGTAGCCTCTGGACCGAAAGATACCTCCAGGCGTGCATTTAATAAGATTTTTAAACGTGTAATTGAAACTGCCGATGTTATTTTATACGTTTTAGATGCACGGGACCCGGAAGGTACAAGATCAACAACCGTGGAACGGGAAATAATGTCGGCTAATGGTGGGGATAAGCGCTTAATTTTAATCATGAACAAGATTGACCTGGTACCTCACGCTGTATTGAAAGGGTGGCTATCATATCTTCGAAGGTATTTTCCATGTCTTCCCTTGAAGGCGTCGACTGGAACTGTTAAGCCACCTGGATTTGATGACAAAGAGTTTTCTATGCAAGCCACTTCCGAAACGCTCCTGAAAGCTTTGAAATCATACGCTCATAACAAACAATTCAAACGTTCCATTTCAGTTGGGGTTATTGGCTATCCCAATGTGGGCAAATCATCCGTTATCAACGCGTTGGCATCAAGACTGGGTAGAGGGACATCCTCTCCATGCCCAGTTGGTGCCGCAGCTGGCATCACGACCAGTTTACGAGAACTGAAACTCGACAATAAAATAAAGATAATTGATTCTCCCGGTATTGTTTTTCCAAATACCCGCGATGCAAAGGATGTCAACCAAGAAGCACGGCTAGTCCTTCTTAATGCAATACCGTTGAAGCAAATGTCAGATCCTATTACTGCCGTCTCCCTATTACTCGACAGGTTAAAGTTGTCTCAGGCACTCCTTTCTAGCATGCTCGAATTTTATGGAATTCCCCCGCTTCAACATCCAGCAAACGAGAATGTCCATGAATTTCTTATCCAAGTTGCCAGGAAAAAGGGAAGACTCGGTAAAGGTGGTGTCCCTAACGTAAAAAGTGCAGCTATGGCTGTCGTTACAGACTGGAGGGACGGTCGCATTCAGGGTTGGGTTGAAGCACCTACCCAGGCACTCGTTTACCGAGGGGCAGCTGCTCCCCTGCTTGGATCCGACAGGACAATAATTGTTTCAGAGTGGTCTAAAGAATTTGATCTAGCAGAGTTATATTGCTAGGAAGGCGACAGATGTTTTTGCTGCGAAGGATAGACTACAAGGCACTTTATGTTACCCTAGCCAATTTACCAGAGAGTTGCTCAACAAGAGTATTCATTACAAATTTTTAGTATTTACTGGCTGGCTATTTTCATTATTGCTCCAGCAATTGCGGGCAGAATAAGACTATTTAGCTGCTTAGTTAGACACTATGAGCGTCATTTATCTTTTGGGTATTTTCTAGGGCAAACATTCCACCACAGATGCATGTCCTCAGCACAATTGTTTTTGCAAGCAAGCAAAACAAGGCCAATGATTTTGGCGGCATCACCTCCTCCGTAAAAGCACAGCATCTTACACATTGTCGTTTTGGTATCAAGAGTATTTCTCGAGGGTCCTGTAACTGTACTATGACCTTTGTAAGAATATCAATTTCATTATATTGCCGGAACGACATTGTCATTCTATCAATGTCAATCTCCAACCAACTATAATCCCATGTACTCAAACGCAGTAGATCTAGATCTGGTCGAATCTGAGATAAAGTGCTGATCAAGATAGTTTTAACTGCGGGCTGTAGTACAGCTGGAACCTGACCAGTAATAAGCAAGTCTCGTTCAGGGGTCGCCCGATCAGCGGCACCAAATCCAGCACTTTGATAGGTATATTTTATGACGTTATCAATGCTGAGTAATAGTTTTTCGTAGACATCAACTCTTAATGGTGACTCTTCGATAAGAGTCATAATTGCCGAATATATCTCAAATGATTCGTTATTGATGTTTGGGGCATTCCGAAAGCTACTTAGAATTCCCCGCAGTCCCCGACAAATGTACTTTAGGAACGACCGAGGTATGCTGGAGACAACAAGGAGAACCGACAATGATTCAACGTCACCTGAAGAGATGTCAGTAACTAGACAGAAACGCAGAAGACGTATACCACTTACCCGACCATCCACTTTCATGTAAACTGTAAGATGATGTTGTTTCAAATAAGTCATCAACTAGGTACTTAGCTAAGTCAAGTGCCCATTTCACATTTCCAAGGATCATTCGCAAGATGTCTAGTGTCCGAAGTCAACCACCATAGATATAAATCACACAGTAATGATATTACCAGGTTCATAACACTCAGGATCACTTCCACTCTTATTGAAGTGTAAAAAGTATGCCAATAGAATAGAGATCTGCCTCAGCTGAAGAGTAAACCATGGTACAGAAGCATGGATAGGACGGGTTTGATAGGAACCTTCGAAGCCCAGGGCAGCCTGCATACTAAAACATTTCTGGATGTATGGGTTGTTCATCAGTTTATCCTGTTCAATAGTGAAGTCAACGTTTAGAGGTAAAGCCCTATACACCTCACTGAGGAATAGTTTCTGGGCGTCTTATAAGAAAAAATTCAGCGTAAAAATACCATAACGAATAGGTGTTGTAAATACCATACCTTTGGAGAAATGGTGTCTTATAATCATCAAAATATCGTCGCTGCTGCTATCCGTGCCACATGCCCTCGCAAACGTCAATGCAAGAGCAGCAAGGGCAGCGCTGAATTGGTCTAGATGATATTGCGGATAAGTATAGTTTTTCTACTTGGTGTAGAGGCACATTACCTTCATCCGACAATTCGATTTCCATCCCAAGAGAGTGTTCCATGACACACAGTTGCAACTCGTGGTTTTCATCCAAAATGGCGGCCAGGCAGCCACTAGGCGAAAAAGAAGCAGAAATTGCTTTCAGACAAATGTAAGCCAGAGCTCGGTAAAGACAATAAATGGCCAACATACTTGAACTACCGTTGAAAAAATGAAAGCCCACCTGTGGTAAACTTGAGACGATCGTATATTGGCTAATACCCACCAAAAAGTTCGTTGTTTTTGCATCAAGAAATGATATACTGCCATCATCAAACGTCAAGGCAATATAGTTGCCGGCTTCGAAGTAATCAAGGGAAATGACTAATTTCTCAAAATGAACAACTCGTTGCCTCAAAAGATATTGCATTTGCTAAATGAACCCCCTCAGTAACTGATTATTGACAATCCAACTGAACATACACTCACATTATGTCTAGATTCCGCAAGGGTGTTATCAAAACAAGAATGCAGAGATTGGCTTTCGGGTTCAAGTGAATGGATAGTAAAAATACTCAAAGGGCCACTACTTGGCTGGCGGACTCCAAAAGAATGTAAGGACTTCGAGAAGACGGCGAGAATATACGTCTCTGTATGTGCTTCACCTGAGTCGTCTAGGGGAGATGAGATGATTTCAAGGTGAGTAAGGCTAAATATAGAGTTGATGGCAGAATACCCAAACTCAACCTGCTGGGCATCATTATTCACTTCCGTAGTAACGAGTTTGAAAGCCTCGGTCTTGATATGAATTGCTTGAATATATGGTACCTGGAAGGCAGTAGATCCCAGCGACCTTTGTTCCGTCAGATCAGCAGGCACAGAATCCCACTTTATCTGTATTTTATAAAGCGAAAGGTTTCCTTGTGCCGAGTATGTTACAATTATTAACGTGCCCCCTAAAATCGCAAGGTAAGCCGAACTATTACCCCGTGCATTAATGAAAGGAACATCCAACCTAGAGACGGCATCAAGGCCGCATGTGTCAAGATATCCTCGGATGATGTGACGCTTTGCAATTCAACATTTCTTTCGTCCCACTTGGAATCCTGGTTCTGGTAGATCAGTCTAGCGTGCCCTGACCGAGTTACACAGACCAAAGCGGGTTTATTTAACGGATGGTATGGGCCTGAAGGCTTGCGAGCCAATCTTGAATAAACCCACTGATTATCCCTCTTGGTTGCCTTTTGAAATGCATGGGTCTAGGTTCACTCATCAGAATGAGCCAATCCCATGTTTATATCTCGAAGACTCACAGGGCGATTCCCAGAAAGCCATATTAAGCCAATTGGTTGGTGACCATCATCTTCGACGTCAGCCATCGTTGAACGAGATACAGCAAAAACGTTTAGCGCGATTGACATCGATAATATCAAGATATGCCCGCAAGAATCAACGATCGCAAGGTCGGTTCCAGTTTCATGCCAACAAAGGTGTAAAAACACGCGGCCGCTTCGGGCTTCAGCTATTTGGCAGCCAGCCTTTTGATCAGTCAAAGACCATGACCCATCGTTTGGTTTGCAAGAAACGTTTCGCAAATACACTCTTTGCCCATCATTCGATATGTACGCAATTGCACCAAGTCTTGACCAGGTTATCTTCCTATCCATGGATTAATTTCGAGTAAAAAATTCTTGAAACTGGATAACATACTTGTTACACCCTGAATGCCGAAGCTCATCGAGTCTTTTGGACAATATGAAAGTTGAAGGTGAGGTCGGAAGTGTCAACTCCAAGGAGGTAGGGTCTCCAAAAAGTTCGTCCACGTCTATGCCGTCATCCATGGTTTTCCAAGCATACGTATGAAATAAAACGCGACCAAGGGTTCAAAACCATACTCCAGCTCATAGCCACCAACGATTTAGGAGGTAGTACTCCGTACAGAGTAGAAGATGTATTTTGAGTGCTCTGTGATGGAGGAAGTTACAGTATTCCGTGCTCCGTACAGAGTACCGCTTACGGTTCTGTTGAGCAACCAGGCAGTCATGTGACTTATCAAGTGACCCATACCGGAATCCATAGCGGAATCCCGGATTTCTGCACTACCATCAGGTTACCGATTTTCTGAGCTGTTATGTAACCATTACCATTATGTTGTAGTGTCAATGTTGGTGTCAGTAATTACTATGTATTTCTGACTCAATATAGTGAGCATGCACTACATTAAGTACATCAATATGTTGAGCTAGGCTGACCATTGGGGTCCCTTTGGGATCCCAATGGGACAAGACTGAATGTTAATCCCAATTGAGTTGATCCCAATCCCTTCCCAAAATTTGAAAATTGGTCCCAATCCCATCCCAAAATATGGAAACAAGTTCCATTTTCTTCTCAGTTTCAAATTTTCTATGTTATGTCCCATCTCTGAATTTCTCTATCCCTAAAACAACTTTAATTTTTTTTCAAACTTTATTTTGAAAGTGTATTTTTACACCAAAATATGACAAAATAGAAAAATTGGCACATCAAGTCAAAATGCATATATACATTTGTATATGATTTTGGTACTAAAAATAGTATAAAATAAGATTTTATTTTAAGTTTAGGGAAATTGGAAATCTCTATCTCTAATTAAATAATCTCAATTTCTTTAAATTAAGTCCCATTTCCATTTCAGTACTTGAAACTCAAGTTCCAGTTCCATCTCAGTTTGAACTATCAATTTCCAGTCCCATCTCAATTTTCCATTAGTGCATTAGGAACAGAATCTCAGTTGGAAAATTTCTGTCTCTGCAGTCAGTCTATGTTGAGCTTCTTACTATTAAGTTGCAATGGTGTTTTAAAGAATATTCATTTAAGATAAGATAACTAAACTAACACAATAAACTCATTCATTTAAATAGTAAAATATGATTATTTAGTGATCATTGGAGTTGTCATCTTTATTATTATCTAAAAAGATGTTGAAATTTGAGATGAAGAGAGAAAGTAAGCAACAGAGTAATAATAAAGAAAGCATATTGTGAGAATATAACATTCTTAAATATAATTAAATTTATATACTATATATTGTCTTATATAATATGTGTATAACATGTATAACTTCTATAACATTTACAGAGTCATATACATAAATCTTGATGAAATATAAAGTTTGATCTATAACTCTTTTGAAATTAGTTCAGATCTTATTCTATAAAAGTTTATTTCAAACTTTATATTTCTAATAGAGTTACAGCAATAAGATTACCATCATAGTATTGCTTGTATAAATTATTAATCAAGAAAAGAATAATAAATTGGGATGGCAAATTACATCATAATATGATATTACATCATATAAGATGTCATCATATGTGACATCATCAATAACATTATAAAATTCAATGTTGCATAGTTTATTTTCAAGATTAATAAACTATTGCACATTATATTCAACTTTAACAAGTTCTATAATCAGTTATATCAACTTTCTATGAATCTACATCATAGATATTCTGGTTTAAGTATTAGTCACTAAAACCAGAATTTATAAAATGTCTCATATAATAATTCAGTTTTCTAAAAAGTATAACTACTTTTTACAAAACTATTATAGTATTGCACAATATACTGCATCATACTGCATCATACATTACATCACACATGATGTAACAATTATAAATCAACACAAATATGCCATAATGTACATAACTTAAACTAGACTGATCATTGAAATCTCTTTGAGATTTCAAAGAAACAAGACTGAATGTTAATCTCAATTAAGTTGATTCAAATTTCTTTTCAAAATTTAAAAATTAGTTTCATGTAAGACTCTGTGCTGTGATCTTCTTACATTCATTCCATCATTTAAAAGAGATTTGTAAAATCTTCTTGATGCTTAGATGATCATGCTTCATGACATCTGAAGTTTGTAAACTTCATGACTGATTACATAATCTCACTAGCAAAGCTGAACACACAAAATCTGCCACAGATGCTTCTTTATGAAGATCAGTGACAACATATCTAGAGACTCTAGATACTGTTGTAGCAATATAAGTTATCTCTCTCTCTCTCATGCTTGAATCTTATCATAACCATCTCTCATCAGATCTAATCTCATTTACAAAGACTGTAAGCCATTGTCACATTATCTGCAACCACCCAATTCTCACATTTCAATTCCATCTCAAAATACAAATAAAAGTTCCATTCTCTTCTCAGTTTTAAATTTTCTATGTTATGTCCCATCTCTAGATTTCTCTATTTCTAAAACAACTTTAATTTTTTTTCAAACTTTATTTTGAAAGTGTATTTTTACATCAAAATATGACAAAATAGAAAAATTGGCACATCAAGTTAAAATGCATATATACATTTGTAAATGATTTTAATACTAAAAATAGTATAAAATAAGATTTTATTTTAAGTTTAGAAAAATTGAGAATCTCTATCTCTAATTAAATAATCTCAATCTCTTTAAATTAAGTTCCATTTCCATTTCAGTACTTGAAACTCAAGTTTCAGTTTCATTTCAGTTTGAACTATGAAATTTCAGTCTCATCTCAATTTCCCATTAGTGCATTAGAAATGGAATCTCAGTTGGAAAATCTCTGTTTCTGTGATTAGTCTATTTATGATCAGAATTACTGATCATAATTGAGTCATTCTGTCAATAAACATGCTAGCTGAAAGAGTCAATTCAACTCATTTCTGTTCTGACTGATCATGACAGTCTAAGACATTTTGAAATCATGCAAGAATTGTCAAGATAATAAGTGTGATGAATTCAGAAGTTGTCAGCTTTCTGATTTAAGATTAATTATGTGAAAGACTTAAAAAATTCAGCAAATAATTCTTTATGAAGATCAAACTATACTGAAGTATTGAGAAATGAGAATACTTAAGAGTATGAAGTAGCTGAACAGCTCTGTTTCATATTAATCTACTCTAATCAGTAAGCTGAGAAAGAAGACTTGAAACATGTTTTGTCTTACAGAAATGCATACTCTGTGAACAGAAAGATATATTTTAAATCTATACAGATTTATGTGAAGCTGCTTCTGAATGATACTTATAATATTTAAAAATTTCAGAATAAGTTATGAAATGTTAAGCAGCTCATTCTCAGTAATACTTTAAATGAAACAGACTCACAAAAGACTGCATCTCTGAATTCAATGACAATATTATCTGAGATGCTTGCTGATGATGATCATATAGTAGAGATTAGAAAAAATCTTCAGTCAGACTTAATTAAGTTTATGAACTGAATAGAGAAGAAGAGCTGTCTCTTTATAAAAGAGTGTCTTTACATATTTATAAGTGAAACTCTGTAAATTGAACTGATTAAAAGACATTATAATTTATCTCTGATGAGTTACTTCATGAGTGAAAGAACTTATGAACTGCTAGTATGCAGATTCTATTGATCAAAAATGAAAAAGCTTATAAAAAAATGTGTTATATCTATAATGTTTGCTTTAAGTTCAGATAGATCTGTATGAAATCACAAAAAAAGATGTCTTCTTTATCAATTTCTGAAAAATTTTAAAAACATATTACAATAAATGTGATTAGAGATCTTTTATTAAGTTAGAATTTTAAGAAAGTGAAATTCAACTATATTCTAATTATTATGAATCAGTTTATGAAGATGTTTCACTTCATTTCAGTCAGAAAGAAGCTAATATCTGAACAACTTATTGAATTAATTATGTATGAGCTAGTCAGATTGCATGGACTTTTCTTAAGTATAATTTCTGATCATAAATCAATATTTATAAATGAATTCTAAAGAAATCTGTTATATTTTCTCAAAGTTGATAGAAGAATGAACACAGCATTTCATTTTCAGATGAATGATTAGATTAAAAGACTTAATAGTACTCTTGCACAATACTTATAAAGCTTTGTCAATTATGAATAAGATGACTGAGTTAAAAAATTATCTCATGCAGAGTTTGCTTATAACAACTCTAGATAAGTCTTAATTAAGAAGAGTCTCTTTGAGCTTTTAATAATAAGTCATTCACAGATAAATTTTCTGAAAGCAGAAATATTAGCATCAATCACAACTGAGTTTTATAAGCTGACAGATTAGTTAAAAGAGCTGCATAAGATAGCTTAAAAGAGTTTTATGAGAGTACAAATGATAAATCTATTAAAAAAGCTACTATAACAAGAAACATACTGTGATATCATTTTACAAAAATGATCAGATGTGATTAAATCTTTGTAACATTAGAACAGCATGTTCTAGCAAGAAGTTAGATGTTCTCTAACATAAATCATACTGAATTGTAAAAGAATTGAGACTTTAAATCTAAACTAGACTGATCATTGAAATCTCTTTGAGATCTCAATGAGACAAGACTAAATGTTAATTTCAATTGAGTTGATTTCAATTTCTTCTCAAAATTTAAAAATTAGTTACAATCTCATCTTAAAATATGAATAAAAGTTTCATTCTCTTTTCAGTTTCAAATTTTCTATGTTATGTTCCATCTCTAGATTTTTCTATCTCTAAAACAACTTTAATTTTCTTTCAAACTTTATTTTGAAAGTGTATTTTTACACCAAAATCTGACAAAATAGAAAAATTGACACATTAAGTCAAAATGCATATATACATTTATATATGATTTTGATACTAAAAATAGTAAAAAATATGAATTTATTTTAAGTTTAGAGAAATTAGGGATTTTTATCTCTAATTAAATAATCTCAATCTCTTTAAATAAGTTCCATTTCTATCTCAGTACTTGAAACTAAAGTTTCAGTCCCATTCTAATTTTCCATTAGTGCATTAGAGACAGAATTCCAGTTGGAAAATCTCTGTCTCTGTGGTCAGTCTAATTTTGTTATATAGATCTAGAATATAAATTAACATTTAAATATCTAGATATAATACACAATATATTTAAATAACTAATAGCTCCTATATAAACTGAACAATTTTTATTTATACAAGCTTGTCTGTAATTATCATAGCTTTATTTTTTTATGTGCTTAACTTACAGTTCTCTGGCTTCTTTGTTAGAGATCTGGTCAACTGCTAAGTGACCTGACTGTCCTCCGAATTAGGCTAGTGTATTATTTTGTTTGGGAGTAGTGTCTACAGAGTACGGAGTACGGAGTACGAGGGTGTCAAAACAGCTTTTTAACCAGACTCTGAGGGGATAACTACATAAGGTAAAGTTAGGACCGCACTCCGCTAACATCGTCGAATCCATTGTTGACTGAGAGTCCCAACCACATGAGATTGGATTGAATATCCCTACCGAATCTTCCACTGCATTTTAGTCATGAGTAGGATGCCGCATATTCTTCCTGTTTTATTACCTCCCTCTACACTCAGACCTCTTGTTTTTCGGATTCTTACAAAGAAGCATTCATTGACTGTCACATCTCTGTCGTTACAGGCTCTTGCCCATTTCGTGGGAAAAAACTGTGGTTCCGAATGGCGTGAGCAAGGCCTTGCTGAAGTTTTACTAGATGAGGTTGCTAAGAGCTGGAAGGATGCTGGAGGAGGAGTTATAGTTGAAGACAATCCGACGGGTTTACTTCAACAAGTATTGGGAGCACTTCAGGTCCGCATTAGTAGCGGACGCGTTTTACGCTTTCCACAAGAGCAGTCGCTGGCAAACGTCTATAATCAACACAGTGATCGAGGCACGCGAAGTTTTTCGGAAACCCAGCCAGGTAAAACAGATCGTAAACCAGGCACTGATGTCTCTTACTCGGACGACATACCGCTGAATGATCTAAGCCAATTAATTAGGGTAGTTGATGCTTTTAATCAACCTCATATAACATACTGCAGGGAACAAAAAGGATTTCAAAATTACTCATCCTCTAGATCCGTCTTTTCTTCACCATCACACAGGGTCAAGGCTTTCAGAGACAGGTACAATCGCTTATACCAGCGCGTACTGAGAAACAAATATTTCCAACAATCGCCCCTTGCTTCAGTCAATATCCAGTGGCCTTCTTTTACCTTGGATTCGACTTTGGCCGGCAGCTACAGTCTAACTTTGGTTTCTAGTCTTCAAGGGCGAAATGGAACATCCCATTTACTGCTTGGCCTCCTTCATGTGTCTTCTACAGGGGATTATTCTTTATCGGATCTCACGGGAAGTATTATACTTGATTTGCAATTCGCAAAGGCTGTTCCCGAGACTGGAACGTGGTTTACGCCCGGTATGATTCTTCTTGTCGATGGAATTTATGAAGCAAGCATCGCGACGGGTGCTCAGCTTGGTAGAGACTCAGGTTCGATCGCTGGGAAATTCACTGTCCTGTCCATCGCAGGTCCCCCTTGTGAACGAAGGGAAGTATCTTTAGGGTTAAATCTGCCCTCTTGCTATGAAAATAACCCCATCGAGGGATTTGGCTGGACCGACTTTCTTGGCGTTGGGAGTGAGCGTGCAAACGGTGCACATATGAGGCGTGTGAGACGACGGTACTCGCAGCTTGACTCATCTGATGTCGTCTCTACTGTTCGAACGCAGTTCGTAATCATAAGTGAACTTAATCTGGATAACCCCAAGGTGCTGGAAGGCCTTGGAAAGGTTTTTCGTGGTTATAACTCATTTCCTGTCGAGCGTGCTCCGCTCGCGTTTATACTAATTGGGAATTTTGTCGGACGGGCTGCCATGAACAGTGAAAACCAGATTGGCAGTGTTGATTTCAAAGAACTCTTTGACCGGCTTGCTGTCGTCCTCTCGGAGTTTCCAGCTCTACTCCAGAGCTCTACCTTCATTTTTATTCCTGGAGACAATGACCCCTGGGCATCAAGTTTTTGTGCAGGAGCATCAACATCAATACCCCGTCCTCCTGTTCCCGAACTTTTCACTTCCCGAGTTCGTCGTGTGTTTGGTACTGTTAACGAAGGGAGCAAAATTCGCAAAGGGACGGCTCTACAAGGTGGAGCGATCTGGACTTCGAACCCTACACGTATCAGTATATTTGGGCCAGTACAAGAACTTGTGGTTTTTCGTGATGATGTTTCTGACCGCCTACGGCGGACATCGCTACACCTGCCCTACAATACTACCTCATTACCAATTACAAATTCTATGGAAAGCTCGAAACATTCATGTGCCGAATCCGGGGCTATCAGTCGTAATAGGACAGCTTTCGAAGAGGACCCGCAACCTCCACAGCCTATCGAGGGGGGGAACTTGACTCGAAATCTGACAACTCAGGATGCTTCAAGACGAAAACTCGTGAAATCGCTTCTTGACCAGGGGCATCTTTCTCCATTTCCGACAACCATCAGGCCCATTCTATGGGATTATTCTGCTAGCCTTCACCTCTACCCACTACCCACAACTTTGATACTAGCAGACCCTGCTACAGGACCATTTTCCATGACTTATGAAGGCTGTAATATTCTGAATCCCGGCAGCTTCGTATCCAAGAGTATCTCTGGCCAATTTGTTTGGATCGAGTATGATATAATAACAAATAAAAGTTGTACGATAGAGAAATCATTATGACACTGATTAAATGAACAGAACTATGCGAACTGCACATTGTTGTAGGGAAGAGTTCCACATATCCTATCTTCAATGGACCTAGTTGGTATTTTTGTTCAACATGTTCTGGTGAGTACAGTATGTGACGCTATGAGCTACGAGCTGGAGAGAAGTGCCTGATTCATCTGATCTCATATTGAAGAGGGATCTAGGCAGGTTTATATAAGTGAGTGACTAGCCCAAGTGGGGCAAAAAAGAGTCAATTGGAGTGTCAGCTCTGATCATGCATATGTGATAAAAAGACATGTGATTTAAAGTCTAGTGCTCTGAATCTACACTGTACAGAAAAATGAAGAGAATTCTCTAATCTCTGTATTTAGTCTAGTCTAGACAGATCTTTAGCTGACACATCTCTTCAGCTCTAATTCACTAAAACTGATTCTATTTTTTTAATTAAATATTAGCATGTGTCTGAATTCTTGCTTCAATATCACATAGACTGAGCATGTGTACAAAGTTTGTATGCTTTTATAATAAGAGAGTCTTAATGAGTCTGTTGATTAGAATTTAATTTATTAAAATTTACATGATATACACACAGTTTACTAAAGTTTCTTAATAAAGTTAGTGTTATTTAATGTTCACATGATAAAATTTAATAGTAAGTACTTATTTTTTATTAGTAACTATGTCAACAGTCTGAAGATTGTCACATTTAAATGCAGAAAGATGATCTGAAATTCTGAATTGAACATTTATTAATTAAAGAAGTGTCATCATTATATAAGTTTAATAACTGCATGTACTAAAATATGTAACTCAGCTTCAGTTATTAATATTATTATGATCTTTTACTTAATGAACTTTCAATTAATGCAACTTTCAAACAGCATAAATATAAATTTCTTAATACTATATTTAAATAGAAGATTATTGTTAAATGCAGCATTATTTACATATATAAAAATTCTTTTCTATTCATTAACTTCATCATTATATTCTATATAGACTGACTGCAGAGACAGAGATTTTGCAACTGAAATTCCATCTCTAATGCACTAATAGAAAATTAAGATGGAACTGAAACTTGATAATTCAAACTGAGATGAATCATGAAACTGAGACTTAAGTTTCAAGTACTTAGATGGAAATGAAACTTAATTTAAAAAAATTGAGATTATTTAATTAGAAATAGAGATTCTCAATTTCTCTAAACTTAAAATAAAATCTTATTTTGTACTATTTTTAGTATCAAAATCATATATAAATGTATATATACATTTTGACTTAATGTATGAATTATTCTATTTTGTCATATTTTGGTGTATACACTTTCAAAATAAAGTTTGAAAAAAAATTAAAGTTGTTTTAGAAATAGAGAAATCTAGAAATGGAACTTAAAATATAAAATTTGAAACTAAGAAGAAAATGAGACTTTGATTCATATTTTGAACTGAAATTGAGATTAACTTTTAAATTTTGAGAAGTGATTGAAATCAACTGAATTAAGTTTAACTTTCAGTCTTGTCTCATTGAAATCTCAACAGAATTTCAACAGTCAGTCTAAATCATTATTTATGAGTCATCAGCCAGTTTGATGGCATAAGTTAGAGTTCATGTTATATGAAACTTTCATATGGTGATTGATGTAAAGTGGACTGTGGCAGTCTATAAGATAGATGCTAAAGAACAATGTATCAAGTCTACAGTATAAGAAAGATAACTAAGTTACACTTATAGTATTAAAGTAGTAACTAGTATTGCTATATGCAAAGTAAGAAAAGAACTCATTGCTGATCTTCTGTGAAAGAAGATCAGCATGACTTTAAGTACTAATGAGATTAAAGCTACACTAACTAATATGATACTAGTTTTTAGAGCAGATCTAGTTTACAGTGAGCATGATAATTGCTTCTCTTCTTAGTAGATATCATTCTCAAGATTCTAGAATGTAGTGAAGTAATTTAAATAAGCATTTAGTTATGCTGTCAGCATTCTAGTTCTGAAATATTAAAGCATGCAGTTAATAATTTACACTAGTGTTGAATGTTAGTGTGAATTAAGCCAACAGTGTTGTGATGTTAAAATGTGATGTTGATGTTTTGTTGTGCTGACACTAATTAAGCATTGATGTTTTGTTATGCTGACATCACTTGAATAATTAGTGACATCACATCACTAGTATTAGCACAGACATTAGCATGGTTGATGATTGTATAATCATCAATATTAGCATAATGTGTGAGCAAGTCAATGTGCAGTAGAAGCTCATACAACAAAAGCTTAGTTAGTAGAATATACTTACTAATAACTATATAAATATATATAAATATATAAGTATATAGTTATATATAAGATTTTGGTGAATGAGTAGAGTGAGAACAGTGTTACTAGAGTTTAGAAAACAATAGTATAAAAGAAATAGTCAATGAATATTCAAAGAAGTTGTTGAATTGTTCAGTTAATTACATTTTGCAGTGAAGATTTTGGTCTTATTTATAGACTGTGAGTTTAGAGTTTGAGTTATGTAAGTTATGGCATATTTGTCTTGATTTATAACTGTTACATCATGTGTGATGTAATGTATGATGCAGTATGATGCAGTATATTATGCAATACTTACAATAGTTTTGTAAAAAGTAGTTATACTTTTTGAAAAACTGAATTATTATATGTGACATTTTATAAATTCTGGTTTCAGTGGCTGATATTTTCTATAAACCAGAATATCTATGATGTAGATTTATAGAAAGTTGGTATAATTGATTATAAAATCTATTAAAGTTGAATATAATGTGCAATAGTTTATTAATCTTGAAAATAAACTATGCAACATTGAATTTTATGATGTTATTGATGATGTCACATATGATGACATTTCATATGATGTAATATCATATTATGATGTAATTTGCCATCTCAATTTATTATTCTTTTCTTGATTAATAATTTATACAAGCAATACTATGGTGGTAATCTTATTGCTGTAACTCTATTTAGGCTGACTGCAGAGACAGAGATTTCCCAACTGAAATCCCATCTCTAATGCACTAATGGAAAATTGAGATGGAACTGGGACTTAATAGTTCAAACTGAAATGAATGTGAGGATTGAATGGTTGCAGATAATATAACAATTGCTTACAGTCTTTGTAAATGAGATTAGATTGGATGAGAGGTGGTTATAAAGAGATCTAAGCATGAGAGAGAGAGAGAGATAACTTATATTGCTACAATAGTATCTAAAGTCTTTAGATATGTTGCCACTGATCTTTGTAAGAAAGCATCTGTGGCAGATTTTGTGTGTTCAGCTATGTTAGTGAGATTATGTAATCAGTCATGAAGTTTACAAACTTCAGATGACATAAAGTATAATCATTTAAGCATTAAGAAAATTTTATGAATCTCTTTTAAATGATGAAATGAATGTAAGAAGACTGCAACACAGAGTCTTACAGATTTCTCTCTCTTCATAAGTCTTGATTCTCAAGATGTTAATGTGATTAAAATGACAGTGAGAGTGACAGCTTCACTGTAATTGTAATGATTTTTTACAAAATCTCTTTTTGGTGTGAAGAATGTAAGAAGATCACAATGTGAAGTCTTAATTCAATCTCAGTTTCTAGATGTAGATGTGACAGTAAGATTACAGTGAAAGTGACAGCTCTTCTGTAATTGTAATGTAGTTGCTGTAGTGACTGTCATTTTTCATAATTCATCTTGTAATACTTAATGATCTCTTAAATATAAATATCTCTTTCTTGATCTTCCCTCTCTCTCTCTTTCTTTTTCTTTTTCAACAACATTCTTTTTTATTTAATAAGAGTTTCAGACAAGCATTCTCTTCTTGATGATTATAAATCTTGAGAGACTTTGTAAAGAGCTTTTCTCAAAGCTAACATATTATGCAGAGAGATAATTTTGCTGTGTCTCTCTTCTGTTTAAAATTAAAATGTCAAAACATGAGCAACAATGACTCAGTAAGTTTGAAGATAAAATTTCAATCAGTCACTGTTCAAGATTCTCTTCAGAAGCAATGAGAGAGATGTCTTCAGAATCTTCTGCTTCATCTAAAGTAGAGTTCTCAATCACTGTCATTTCTTCAGAAAATTAAAATGAAGAGACATCATTATCATCAGTCTTCATTTACACAACAGAGAGTTATGTCTCTGAAGACTTTGAGATCTCTTTTCAGATGTTACAGCTCAGTCAGTCTGATTTTAATTATGATGATGTAAGTGATTTCTCTCTGTTTCTTCTTCTCTTAGTGCTTCATAGTCACTTTTACAAAGTCAGAAATGTCTTTTAAGAAGTGTTTTCTCACTTCATAATTCTCTTTCTGTGTGCATGGCTGATGACTTATTCAAAGTGCTAATATTCAGACTTGATGAAAACACTCAATGATGTCTACTATGTCTAGTAATAATTCTTTTTCAACTACTAATTCTGTTGTCTCAGTTAATCAGATCTTGAGAGAGAATGACCATTCATCTTTCAGATCTGTGACTTTTATTAATAATGTACTGCTTTATTTTTCTCAGTCTGATTCATTTCTACTACATTCTCATTCTTAATCTGTGCTCTTTTCTATACTGTGCTCATTCTCAAGCATTGATTCTGTCTCTGATGCATTTAAGATATGTTGAGTTACTTCATAACATGACTTATATGATGGTTTCTGCTTCATAAATTCATTTATGAAGTGATATTGAGAGCTTCAGCTAATGCTTTTCTTTTTCAGAAGTTAGTCTCATCAATTTCTTCTCTGTCTGCTATATCTGCTTCTGCTTCTGCTTCTCTGACATCTGCTCTGACTGTTAACATATCAGTCAGAACATCAGTTACTATGAGTCATCTTCTGCTCTTAATGTCAGATCAGAATCTCTCTGATTGTGAGAGATGATGTCTTGCTTTTCTCTCTCTTTAGTCTGCAACTCTTACTGATCCAACAGACTCTGTTTGACTGAGAGATAGAGTTCAGCTTTGAAAAGAAATTCTGATCACCATGACAAACAATTATTC